TTTAAGGGCACGGCCCCCTATGGGGGGCTACCCAAGCGACACAAGCGAGTAGCTCAAAAAGTTAAGCCAGCGGCGGTGGGCCGCGAGCGATCTGCACTGGAAGGGATATCGGAAGAAGAGATCACGAAAGAAATCAAAGAAAGAAAGAGAAAGGGGCCGCAACGCCTAACGGAAGAGAGGATAGCAGGGATGGAGATCGGAGATGGGAATTTGAGCCCACAGGAGCGAGAACGTATGATAGAAATCCTGAAGACATGTGATAAGGCCATAGCTTTTAGTGATGCGGAGCGCGGTAAGGTTGACCCTCGATACGCTAAGCCAACAAGGATTTACACGATACCACATGTTCCCTGGAATGACGCGGGATGGAAATAGGCCCAGAAGGAAAAGGAAGAAGTTATCGCTTTCCTGAAAGAAAAGATGGTTTCCCACGTTGCGGAGCCGTCTGATAGCGCTTATGCTAATCGATAATTCTTCCTACGAAAGCCGAATGGCAAGATCCGATGGATCCAGGACCTTCAGAAGGTCAACGCGGTGACGATACGAGACGTGGGCTCCGTGCCACACGCCGATTTACTGGCAGAAGGCGCCACAGGTAGGTCGATTTATTCGGTCTATGATCTGTTCTCAGGTTATGATGAGGTACCGCTTGACCCTAGAGACAGGCACCTCACGGCTATGCATATGCCATTGGGACTAATACAGATGATGGTTCTCCCTATGGGTTGGACTAATGGGGTAGCCGTTTTTCAGAGAGCCATGGTAGCCGTCCTCAAGGACTTCATCCCTGATAAGGTTGAAGTTTTTCTGGATGACTTTCCTGTAAAAGGGCCAGTAAACAAGGATGAGGCAGAGGTTGCACCTGGAGTTAGAAGATTCGTCGAGCAGCACCTAACGGATATTTGTGCGGTACTCGAGCAGCTGGACGAAGCGAATCTAACAGTCAGCGGAACAAAGAGCCGATGGGCCGTCTCGACTATTAAGATCTTGGGCTTTATCTGTGACTCGAGGGGACGCCAAGCAGATCCGACAAAGTTAGACAAACTCCTGAACTGGCCGTCACCATTACATAGTCCAACCGAGGTCCGGCAGTTTCTGGGAGTGGTCGGTTACTGGCGTATATTCATACGAGGGTATGCAGAGAAGGCTGAGCCATTGAGACTACTCCTTCGAAAAACTGAGAAATTCTACTGGGATTCATCGCAGGAACTCGCTATGCAAGAGCTTAAAGATGAATTTAAGGAGGGAGGACGCATACTGGGCGTGTCGTTCTTTGATGATGAGGCTGGGAGACCCTTCATAGTAGCCACGGATGCTGGACCTTGTTCGGTAGGAGGGTTGCTGTCTCAG